CCCCCAGCATTTGTGACCTGGATACCCGTGTCCTAATATTATGACGGAATATTGTATTATTATCCGAGATGAGTATCAGTGCCAAGTTTCAGCCCTCTAAGACATCGGGAAGTGAGTTAAATTGATTTTGCAAGATTTGAAAAATACCCGTACAAACGTGTTAGCGAGTTGAAGAAAAGCATGTAAAAAAGTAATTTTTTTGTCATACCAAAAATAAAACTTAATTAAATTTAATAAAAAAAAAAAAATACCGGTTGTATCCTCCTCTTTGCCGGAAAACCGAAAAAGTATTTTCAATGACATCAGACGTTAATCGGTTCGTTAGAAGGTAATTATATCCTAATCCTTTTTGTTGATTATACAGCATTTCGATAGAATTTATGGTCCATATAAGTCCATCAAAGCACGGAGGTCTTTCTTCTTGTCTACTTTTGGTTTTCACTTTTTTTAAATTTTTGAGCCAAGATTTTGTTTTAAGTAAAAATTCCAGTTGTTGGGGACGCTCTTGAGATATTGCACATTTAAATCGATTTTGGTGAAATAGTGTTTTACTATTTAAAACGTCTAATAAGTTATTTAACTCTTTAACCATGTCCAGAGTATTTAAAGCAGTATTAGATTGCAGTTGTTTGGTCATTATGCATGTCTCCATTGTTGCTGCCATCGAATTACTGAAGAGCTGCATTGCCAATTTACAGGACATTAATTGAAACGGCCCAGGGTTCATGTGGCTATCAGTAATTTTTAAAAGGGACCTACTTGTTCCACTATTTTTATCAATTTCGTATACGTCTCTAAGGTCTTTAAATGAAGTTTCTTTTCCTTTAAAAATAAAATTGTTTGATTTAAAATTGTTTCTAAAATTTTTGTATATATGAGGAACATCGAAAATAGAATAAATTTTTTTGCCCTTGATTTCGATAAACGGTGTCTCTTTTGTCATTTTTAAGTCTTTTACAAGAGCAGCAACATTATTTTTACCCTGGTCACATATAATCGCAGTAACTATAAATCCACAGTCCAATAATTTTTCAATGGCATTTATTAGTAGAGTACTTAAAGCCGTATGTCTTACAGATGTAGAAGTAAAAAAATATGAAATTGGTAACTTCCACGGAGCATATAAACCACGAATTAAAAACACCATTGCTTGGCCAGCTAGTTTATTTGACCTTCCCAATGGACCCAAGTCTTCATAGCCTTCGACCAAATCAAGGTATTTAGAGTACTCTAAGAAATTTTTTATTGTCATTTCGTCAAAAACAAGTGTACAATACCGTTCTTGTTCGTCCATTGTTTCAGCTTTCATTTTAAGTTATCTGAAGACATTTGGGTTAAAGCCGGTTTTAAACTTTGAATTGCCAATCCATCGCTTAATTGAAGACTCAGCAGGTAGGTTAATATTTTTTGAATTACGTAAAAATTTGTACGTTGATGGAGATTTATAAAAAATGCTCAAAGCCAGATTTTTTTCGTCTATAGCCCATTTTTTTGTAGTTTTGTTTTTTCTGGAAATTTGCATTTTAACTAAGGTTTTGGATTCTTTAGATAAATAATTTAAAGAGTTTAAAATATCGTCATTTTTATATTTTAATTTGGAAGTTGAAAGATTACTACGGAGTTTTGAAATTGATCCCCGTTTATTTTTTAACAGCCTTCTTTGGTTTTTAATTGTGTTTTTTAGTTTGTCTACAATTTTATGTAAAGAACGTTTCGAAGGCGACGCACGTTTTTCCGGAGAGTTTTTTTTTGGAGTAGGGAAATTTCGCGTTGAGACAAGTAAGTCATGGGTTTTAGGTGTAAGCTCAAGGAGTGAACATGGAGGTACGATTTCATTCTTTTTCATTTTTTTAGTTGGCGTTTGTAAATGTATAGTCTCATCCGGAATTTGTCTTTTTTTTAATTTTGGAGTTTCAGGGCTTTTAGGGAACAAATTATGATGCTTGTATGTTTTAGTTGGTGTTAATACTAGATGTTGTTCTGGGTCCACGTACTTTTTAGGTACAGCATTTTTTTTTAAGTTTTTCGTTGTTGGATTTGTAAAATCGTCATCGGTAAAATGCAAAATACATAATCGTTTTTTATTAAGATCGTCAGAAGTTAGATGTATTAAACCTATGTTCCCTAAAAAAATTTAGATAACTTTTAAAATGTGTTTAAAACAAATAGAAGTATAATTTAGAGGAAAAAAGAAAATATGTATGGTTAGGTAAATAACATAAGTCCACGGCTCGTCATTTAATGCAATTAAAATCTCATTTATATAGTTAATATGCCATTTTAAATATGGACAGTGCGCGGGTAAAAGGGAATAAGTCCATTTTCACGAAAAAAACTGTACTCCATTTTCTGATATAGTTTAAAGAGCTACATATATTGTGATACAAAAAATGATAAATTTTAATATTAAATTTCTCATAAAACCATTATTTATTATTATTAAATATGTTTAATAAACTAATTGGACTATTTTTAAAAAAGTTATGGAGCGTCGTAATTTTAAGTTGAAAAATACGTAGTTTTGTTGGCGTTTTTCTCCATTTTGAAGGGGAAAAGATTTTTTAGAAAGAACTTTTTAAATTTTTGGTCCAATAATGAAATTTATTCAGTGACTTAAAGATAGAACAGACACAAAAAAAAAATAATAAAAACATATTTTAAAAAACAATACCTTCTCCGCATCGAAGCGTAAAAATGTCGCAGAATGGCCCTATATGGGATTGGATACCGACTGTTTTTTTAGTCAAAATACATCATCTTTTGTCAATTGTACAGGCCGAACCAGTCATCCGATAAGATTATTTTCATTATTACAATCTAGAATATTTCCCCGGGTTACTTATACCACATTTTTTATCTTTTTCGCTTAAGGCTATTGGGTACCGACTAATTTTTCCGTTAAAAACTACCCATTTAAGTTCAATCGGCCCCTGATCAAAATTTATTAAAACCACTTTTTTCGTAAGTATTGTCTGTACAAAACACCTTAATTTTAGCCGGTACCCAATAGCTTTAAAGGTAGAGTTAATTACGACTTGGTAAGATTGATAAAAAAAATTACATAACTCACGAGCCATGGACATATTGGTTAAAAATCACCCTGATAGCACCGGGAAATTGAGTAGACAATAATAATAATAGGTAATGCCCGTTTTCTTCACTACATTAAATAGGAAGCCAATATTACTACCGACTACCCTACGTACGCTGAATGTACTCAATTATGACCATTCGGCATTTTTTGTAACTTTCCAACTTCCTGGTGCTAATAAGGTACCTATCCAAGAAAGAGACTAAAGGAATTGTTAAGCTTATGAAAATGTTTAGTTTTATACCTGAGTTAGAAACCCATTTTGAACATAATGATTGGTCTTTTGGAAACCTATATAATTTAAGATTTTCAATATCTCTTGCGCTTTTACCACAGTTAAAATACTCGCACCTAATTCCGCATTTACGAGACATTTTACAACAATAAAATATAAAAATTAAAGAGACGAATAAAATATAGAATTTTACTAGAGGAGCTCACGACTCTTAAAACGCTCAACACAAACTGTGGTGGTAATAAAGGTTTAAAAAAAGTAGATCAATGACTAAAAAAAAAAAACAAAATTGTTTGCTTAAAACGCACAAAAGAATGTCTAGTGACGCTATCGATTTACTTATTGTACTATTATTATTTATTACATTATATTGTATTGTATTTTAAAAAAACAAAATCATAAGACTTGGACACGAGTCACGACTCCGTCGATGTCCGACGTCCGTGGTGTAAGAGAGTACAGGAAGAGAGGGAACATATTGTGTAAAAAAATCCTACCAATTAGATTCAAAGGGTGGAAAAATGATATTTTTATTTTATTTACAAACGGCATTATGTAATTGTATTTTTTTTAATATTAAACTATTCCCTAATAAGTAATATTGTAGTCCAATTACGTACAGCAACAATGGTGTATTGAGGGCGAATAGTAGGTTAATATAAATAACCAATTATGTAAATTTGAGAAATATAATTTAAATTGGTAATAATGTGCGTACAAATTCACAAGAACTCTTGACATATACTAAATATCGTATTTCAAATGTAATTTCAATTTATGCATGATTAAAAAAATATATTAATATATAATAATTTATACAAAAAAAACTATTTTTTCTTTATTATAATAGTTATACTTTAATTATAATAAAGTATAATGTAAATAAAAATTGTATAAAATAAAGGAAAAAGTTGCAAAAAAAGTGTATTGGCCGCCCAGTTTTGAACCGGTATGTCGTGTGTCAGAGCACCATTTTCGATCGAATGAACTACAGATTTAGCGCTCTCTATGGTTCGGCTCCCATACTACTCAATTTCTGGCTCCCATTTATGAGCGGCTAGCTTTTAACACAGCTTGGGCTATCTATGTATATTTAATCAATGCTTATCAATGCTTATAATAATAAAACGTTACTGGTAGTGTACAGGGCAGTTCTTCCAAAAAATGATAAGAGATAAGAGTTCTTCTAAAAGATAACACAATTTTTATTTTATCAGCGTGACCAACCCAGAAACACCAAAATATAAAATCACATTCTATCAGTCTGCCAATTCTATTAGAATAAAAGTAACTAAAATATAACTAACGTTTGTCAGAGTTAACTGTTATCTCTAGAACTAAACGGCAATAATTCAAATGATAAAAAAAAATAACCGTGTTAAAATATATTAGATTTTCTTAAATAGTACCAATTTTACGATACATTTATAATGACAAAAAACCAACTATATATTTATATATAATATTTTTATTAGAATTCTTTTTTAATTCATAATTCAAAACTCTTATTTTCACATAATATAAACTTGCAATATTTAATATGAATAACATAATATATTTATCAATTATAGTACCTAGCGACAAAGTTCATACATACACTATATTGTACTAATTTGTGTGACAATATTATTACATCCTATTTAAATAAAACTATTAATACAAGTAAATTATGTTTTATAGTATGATGGTAGTTGTCTGAAGTCATAAAAAGCTTATCGGTATGCTTATTCATTAGAGCGGTTCGATTCCTGAAACTATCTCTAGTCTGATTAAGTGTGGTAACAGGTATGGAGTTATTTTTTGTAAAATTGTTTTAATTGATTTAATCTCTATTATTTTAATAATTAACATTTCAACTTTTAACTTATTTATTAATAATATATCTTTCAGTTTTAAGATGAGTCAAAGATTCTGGTTGAACAGTTCTCCTTCGACACTAACTGGAAGAAATAATTGTTTTATCATTTGTCTAAATAGACTAGGTAAGGAAAACATTCTAGATTTGTAGTATTAATACAAATATTGATACAAAATTAGTTTAACATCAATCTAAAACACCCTAATATAGGGTATGAAAAAAAAAAGAAATCAAATGTAAATTATTATTCTTTTTAATAATTTAATTTACTATTTTCTAACATTGTTAGTTTTTGTACAAGAAAAATTGCATTTACTTGTAGATCTTACGTTTCATTGGTATGAGATAACAAACTAGGTCCACTTGATATATACCGGTCACAAATATAGTCTATTCATGAAATCACTCTTCCAAGTGTTATTGATAGATAATTTAAGTTGAATGGTATAAAAAAATGTCATTATCAATTTTCGTTATATTTAATTTTAACTTCACAATTAACAAACGTTAACATTAGTAATTCATTTAAAATTGGTTTTATATTATAATTATTATTAATATTATTTAACCATTTGTTGTTTTTCAGCTAGAATGTGACCAGAGGAAGATTAAATGGACATATCATATATTTCTCCATGGACACTGTAATCCATGACGGATTTTTGACACTATATTTGAATATTTGTTGTTGAAGTTAATTGGATTTTGTGCAAAACCCCTGGAAGAATATTCTGTATCAGACTAACAGTATAAACGCCACCCAGTATTTCTGTTTACCTGCTGTTAAACATCGTAGTATCATCTCCAATCTCTTTATATTTTGTTTAATTTTATTTAAAAAAGTCTCATTATAATTTATTATTAATCAACTGTAATTCAGTTGTTTATTTATTGAATAACTTATTATCCTGTCTTCAACGTCCATATAAACTGTACTGTATTTATGACCACTACACTGATATCTCATTTGGCTAAATATTTTTAATTTTCAACTACATTAAAACAAAATTAAGATTGTTTAAATTTTTTTTTTTTTTTGAATACTTGTATTATTGTTTGAATATTTTTACACTTTAAGTGTCAATACAAGTATCTTTAGTTTAACGATACTAACAGTATATTACTATTACAATTTTGACAAACATAATTATTAGCCTACCAAATAAATTATAAATGTAGCTTCTGTATTTGCTTATTTATTAATATTTACTTACCTTAATAACATTAAAATATTAATTTATTGTAAAAATATCTTGACCTAACTGAAAGATTGAAAATTTGTAAACTGTTGTGAAATTATGTTGATGTTGTTAGGAAAAATTGTGTAGTCAAAATTTTAAATACCTAGATTAAAAAAAAAAAACGGTACAATTTTTTTTTGCTAGACCAAGTAATTATACATTTGTAAATTTTGATGTTAAGTTTATAATATATACATTTTTAGTTAAAAAATATCTTTACTTAAGTATCATTTTATACTATTTATACTTTTTACCAGATTATTTTATGTGTTTTAAACTATTACATTTATTATTTCTATTATTACTATTTATTATTTATTTAAATGACTTATCAAACTTTATGAATTGTACTTTATAAATTATAAAATTGGTCTGAAATGTATACTGTGTTACTATAGGTAGCCTGATAGACAGGAAGTCAATATTGTTTTTTAGAAATAAAAGTTGTTTTTTCTTGGTTAGCTTAATTATATAGTGTGATTGACTAATTTTCTCTCATAATAATTTCAATTAGGTAAAATTATTTTTCAAAACATTTTTGTTTGTGTTATTTTACAACTGAAAACATGTTTTAATAACCACTTACTTTTTTGATAATTTTTAATTAAATAATATTTAATTATGATAAAAAAACAAAGCGTATTTAGTATATAGTATATATTTGTTTATAATTTTATTATTTAGAAATGCATTAGTTTTTAGATGTAGTTTTTGACACAATAAAGTAAAAGTAAACCAAATGTATTTTTTCTAAATCTGTTCTCATAGACACGTTTACTCTCGATAACGAGTGATTTGTATCTGTGTATTGTATTAAGTGATATTATATAATACGTTTAAACGAAGGATGTTTAACATATTGAATACTCTCTTTGAGTATACAATGATGTGTTCGATATAAATTGTATTATAAAGTCCAGATACCGTTATCTTTATTTATATGCATAGTATAATGTAGTAAATAATTATAGATTCAACATTTAAATAATAAATTAGCTTTAGTAAGTTTAACCCTTAACAATACCTGCTATTATCTAATAACTATAGATATATATATAAATAATGTCTTGATAATAATTGAATAGTTTTATAACATATTCAATATTTTTGATATTTTCATTTTAGTCAGTTATCAATGAATCAAAGTATACAACTATTTTATTTTTAATAGTAACGCAGTTACATCTTATATGAATCATAATTCATGAAACACAATTTTGTAGCTCTACATAGTTTTGACCTCTAAACTTTAAGTTATCTAGATTAAAATAGTTTTGAATATTGAAAACCATATGTTCAGTTTTATTCAAATTCAACTATAAAAACTCGTAAAACCATGTAAATATGTTTTAATAACTAAATATTATATTACTTCATTATTTGGGATTTAATGATTTTCAAATATTTTTGATAGAGACAGTGATAACGATATTGGTTTATAATGGCTACAGTCTAGTAATTATAACTAGAGCCCTAGTAATTATAATTACCGACTGAAATAATAGATAATAACTACTGAACAATTATTTATTTCCTGTTTTGTGTAAAGGAATGAAGACACATTTGTTAAAACTATTGGGGCACTTACCTGAAAATAATGATAAATTAAATACCTACAACTTTTATACTTTTCATTGTTAACTACAATTTAGTTAAGTACAACTGTTTAACAGTATAAAGTTAGAATTATCTTCTACTAGTTTAATCTAGTATTTCTAACCAAAATTATGGGGGTATAAGATATTCCTAACACAATTATACCATTTTTAATTAATGTTAAATAAAAATGGGATTATCTAATCTGTTTTTAAATGTTCACTTAGTTAAAATAGAGTTAACCTGACCGCTTGATATTCATTCTTTTAATTTCTGATTTGACAATTTTATTATATACATATTAGTGGAATTGGAAATAGCCTCATTAGTTTTCACATTAAATATGTCCATAGCTACGTTTATATCATTTAAATTTTCACAACTTCACCAATCTTAAGTAAATATTAACATACTTAAAACAGTCTTATTATAACTTATTAAACTTATTGTGGGCAAAAAGAGCTTTAACAGCAGATCTCGATGAGAACGAGATAAGAGATAAATAAATATGATGAGATGCTGCAACTTGCAATTGTATCTATTTATTTTATAATATGTATTATTTCTATTTTTTTTATAATATAAGAAAAGTATACATTTCTTAATAAATGGAATGTAGGCAGAATTAATAACAGAAAAGTTATAATATCACTTCTATAAGAAACAAATCTAATTGATAATAATTGTATTTCTACAAAGGCAATCGAGGTAAAAGATAATTAGCCAAGTCTTTGCCAGGCTTGTACAAAAATATTTTATTACTTTTCACTAGTATCTTACAGCATCACTTTAGACATTTAATTCTACTTATGTTTGGAAATGTGCAATATCAAAAATTCTTATAAATCTATGGATCTATGAAAATATAATTTTAAAAGATCTAAATGAAATATGGATGTACCTAAGTAGGTATTCTAATTTCTAATAGATTTTTATACTATCTGATTATCAGAGTATTAATTAAAATAATTAAAAAAAAGCTTTATGTCAATATTGTCCACCGTAAAACGGCAGGACTTAATCCAAAAATTATTTAACTACAACAGAAAGCAAGTTCCTAGAACAGAAAAATATATATTAAACACGAGGGTACCATACCTAATTTATAAAGGATGGAACAGTACAATCGTTTGAAGAAGTTTTGCAGTTATTTAATTAAGATCTTTGTACTATACCAAGGGTAGATCAACATTTATGTGATGAGTATTTGATACGCTCGCATTAATGTGTATCAATTGTCATATTATGCGATTTCTGGTGTAATTATTCATAAATTATTAATTTAACTATTCACTAAGTAAATGGCCATATTAAATGAATAAGTACATAGATTAATAAAATATGGGCTATGCAATCTTCTAACAAACAAGGACATTTTCAAATCAAGAGATAATTGTAAATTTGCAAATTTATAAATCTATATATTATCTATATATTATAATCTATAAATTTATATATTTTTAAATCATATGAATAACTATTTCAGAACAAATTCATATTGTTTAGTTTGGTTTATATAATAAAAATATTTACCCAGAGTAGCTTAATATAAACTAATTTCTGTAAAATATTAAGTGAATAATAATTATTTTAAAAACCTACTAATTGATTATAAATAACATTCAGTCTTGCAAGGTATTTTAATACCGATCAGTCTGATTTGATAATCTCACCAACATAAAAGCAAGTTTTTATTAAATTACATTATATATTTATTGAGTATGACGTTTATACGATTACGACCCAAGTTTGATCATTTTTATTAATACAACAGAATTGTTAAATCTAGTTTACAGTAATTTTATATTATGCCATATTCGTATTATCTACCTATTATCCCATGCAAAAGGGGCCGTTCAACAATTTTTTTCTCTTCACGAGTCTTTATCTGGCAAAAGGTTCACTTTGGACTATAACCTTATAATGTATATATTGATTTATGTGAAAACTTGAAAATGAAATATGTGTTTGGTTCTAGTTATTCATGTAAGGTATTTAAACTACAAGTGTCATATGTTCCGTTATCTTGCTCTAATATATCCTTTAGGTACCAAATTTTGTTAATAATATATCTTCTAAAAGACAAGATTGAAGACAAAGCTTATAAGCTCCTACCTGTATTCTTTAACTACAGAATACATATGTAAGATGTGGTAAAACTAATTTATACTTGACAGCCAAATTCTGAAATCGTTAACTAATTTAGGTAAAAAGTAAAAATAATGTTTTATTTAAATAGTAATATAAACAATTTGAGGGAAATTTTAATAAAATTATTATTATTTTATACCAAATAATATTAAATTATAACATATACTTATATGATAGGTATATACTATAATATAATGTAATTTATTATGAATTTTACGTGTATAGTGTATACGATTTAAATTAGATAATTGATAAAGATCTAACTACAATTTGCAATAAAGATAAGAACCTAACTAAAGGCAATGTTTTTGATATTAAAATACGAAATTTCTCTTGGCGGGTTTTTGGTAAAATCGATGTTGGTACTATCTGTAGTATTACACATTTTATAGGTTATGTAACATTTTTTTCTTATCACGCGTTATCATTTTTTGGAAGAACTACCCCCAACTCCCCCAACTCCACTGGGCACTCGCTCAGTGTTGCCAGACGTACGATAATTCTCGTACGGGCACGGAATTTTCAAATCATCGTACGAGGTACGAGAGAAGAGAGTTCTCGTACACGTAAAATACGAGATTTTAAAGTTTAAGAGAAAAATATAGTAAATTATTTTCGTTTTTGTATTGATCACTTTTTCTAAGTCAAATAAAATCAATTTCATTTATATTTAGGGATCTTTAGCATATATTAATTTTTTATTTTTCGGATACCTAATCAGCTGACAGCCGATCGCTGTCATAATTTCTAATCGGTATCAGATTCGCAGCATTTTGATAACGAATTAAAAAAGTATAATACATTTACACATAATAAACATTTGAAATACTATAATAAGTTATAGGTAGTTACAGTCCATGATAATTTTTGTTTTGTTAAGGAAAACTAGCATTTATTAAGGCGCATTTTATGGGCATTTGTTGACTAAAATTTAACATTTAGCTAATATTTTAACATAGGAAAAAGGATGGTTACACTTTTTTTTGTTAATTACTATATCGCATACGGTCTCTATTTTTGTACAAAATTATATGTTTCTTCTATGAACAGTTCGTTATTAAAAATAATTAGATTTATCATTTAGGTTATAAAAGAACATTGGAATTAATCATAACATTTACAAGGTATCGATCATGGCACAATTATAAAAACTATTTTTAGTTAACTCAAAAATACTTCTAAGATTTTTAATAATTTTTACAAACAAAATTTAAAATTAAAATTAAAACTGTACTTCGATCCATACATCAAGCTAGTATTGAAATCTATACATCTTTTTAAACCTATCTTTGAAGCGTTTAGAATTCAGTTAAAATTAGAATGTATTGCTTTCAATAAAAAATACGCAGGTGTACAGGCCCCTGTACTTCATACAGACTTATTAATAAATAGTTTATTGTCAATATAATTATTTGAACATTTTTTTAAAAATAAATTATATTTTAGTTTTTTTTTTAATTGGAAAACTATTTTACGCATTTAAATAAAAAAAGCTTTAAACATAGTCATTGTAGCTCGGTAATTACATTTGTTAGCATGAATTAATTTTAATTTGAAAAAAATTCACATTTTAGTTTCTCGATTTTAAATGGTTGGTTAAGTTTCCTGTTTTTTATCTTATTAAGTACCGTCCAGGTAAGATTTTTGACCCATAGACATCGGTTCGGTTGTTTATGGAGATATCGTGGGTTCAGACGAAAATAAATCACATCATCATGAAACAACACTTTCTCAACTCTATGTTGAAACTAAAATGCAATATGAAGTTCATAAAATTCTAAGCGAAAAGAGAAAATTATTCAATATAATGAACGATTAAATTTAATTTTTATAATTGGTATATTTGTTCTAAAATCATCACAGAGCGAGTAAAATACATTCTGCGTAGGTAGATACTCTGTATATGATATTTGTCATTATTTACACACCTGCGCTATAATATACGTTTTAACATTTATACTTACTTGAAATAATAAGTATTTAATTAAAATTGCATGTTTAATTTGAATTATTTTACTCAAATTACAGGTGATAATGTTGACCAAACAAACAATGAACAAAGAACGTTTACTCAATGGTGATGGAGTAGTATTCAATAAAAAACTGTTTGAACTTCTGGGTTTTTTTAAGATATTGGGTCCAAAGAACTCTTTTTATTTCAAACTATTTTTGGCCATTTCCATTTGGATAAGTTTAACGATAGTCTTCTCTATTTTGGGGATTGTATATAGTGTGCTATATGGTTTTATAAACAATGACCAACTGACATATTTAATAATTTTTTTGTACACGAACTATTTGCTAGTATTGTTAAAACTAATAACATTTATACTAAACAATAACAACATTTTAAAAGTGCTTGATATTACAAAAATTAACTTTATCCAAAGTCACCAGTGCAAATTTCAAGTAGGCGAAGTTTTAAAACTCAGAAATAGTGATAAAAAAATAACTACTTTTTATGTTTTCCTGTTTTGTATTGTAGCAATAATATGGTCGTTGTTCCCAATCGCGTATAATATTCTAATAAAACAGAAAACATCAGAAAACCGTTCTATTATAGGCGTCATGGATTTGTACTATCCTATTACTCTACAATCTTACCAAACATACTATATTCTATTTGATATAAATGAAGTCTTGTTGGGGTTATGGCTCATATGGGCCACACTTATATATGATTTATTTTTGTTTACATCATTTTGGGTCTTTGCTAAACACTATGAAACGCTAACACTGGCATTTGAGAATTTCAATTTCAATGGTATTGGGAAAAGTGAGTATTCAAACATGTTTATTAATATTTTAATTTTGACCATGATGACATTAATACAAACAAAATTGGCGGTAAATTAAAAATTAGAAGCTGCGGGATAAATCTTCTTTATAATATTCTTTTGCAGTACTTGCCATATTATACCACACGTTTTGAACTTTGAGTATGGTTAACGCTAATGACCTTAAACTTCAAAAACATAAAATTATTTTTTTTATAATAAAAGATTTCCATTTGATTTATACTTTGAATGATTAATAAGTTTCAGAAAATGGAACCTACGAGGTTTATTGACAATAAAATGATTTCTTTATAATTTCCTAATCCTATGAATGTGTTAAAACTTTTTTGAATTGAATATTATGCGGATATCTTTTAAATGTATCCATGTCTTCAGTTTTCCGCTGATGTTTCGGACTCGTTGCAAGATGAGACACGTGTCTTTGAACCGTGTTATCTCGACCAAGGCACTTAAGTATAGCCCTATTTAATAAAATGCCAAACTTTAAAATTTCTTGTACATCACAAAAAAAAAAAATCTAAACAAAGTTACGAACCAAACGAGTATAGTATGATATATCAGAATAAAAAAAAATTGAAATTTTGACCTCGAGTAAGCAAAAAAACAGATTTATTCATAGTCCTACAATACAAAATTTGAGAAATTCAAAGTCTCATAGCTCCTAGTAAAAGAAGTTCCATTACGATATCATAATTATTCATTAAGTAACGTGATTGTGAATTTAAAGTGTTTTCACAACAAATTTAAGGAATATAGCATCGCAAATTGTTTTTATTCATTTTTTTGGTTTTATGGAACTATTTGCATATGATATGTAAGTTTGAGGCATTTTAAAAATCCACTCGCACACACTTTAGGTGATTTGGCATGGAATAACCCAGTTTATATTTTTGTTTAATTTTTACATATTTATCAAAAAAAATTTGACTTAGGTACACAGCTTTATATTTTAAAATTATTTTACACTTATATGATTTTTAAGTAGCTTAAATAGCGTTTTTTTGTGAAAATCCGGATTTTCGGATTCCCATCACTAAGTCAAAGTGAAGATATGTGAAGTGTCTCACTGAAGATGAGAGGACTCTGCAACAAGTTCGAAACATAAGTGTAAACTGAAGTCATGGATAAATCTGAAAATTATCTACATAATATTCCTAATCCTTATTAATTTTTGTAACTTTTAATGGAGTTTTTTTTTGTATTATAGCGGAAACATTTCAAATGTACAAAAAATTGATAGCTATTATTTCGGATTGTCAAAATGTGAATATGTAAGTATTGATATTTCACAGCGAATACTTGGTAAAATTTGAATGTTTATTCCGAGTTGCATTAAACCAATACTATAACGTGCTAATAAACTAACTAGCAGTCATTTATCAATTTAAGTTTAGATGCGTTCTTAGGTGTTTAGACTATTAATTACCGGTTTATTAAACTATTGCTACGATTTTGGTTTATTGCACATATATTAGGCAGTACCTCGTTATATGGTATCATTATTGCGTGTTATATTGCAGCTGCCCTGTAAACACGTTATTATTTTAGTTTAATATATATTTCCAACATTCTTAATTTTACATACTTATCAATTTGTTCAATAAGTTTGCTCACATCAGTCAAATGATCCCGTATTTCCTTTTTCTCTTTGTTTCCCTCTTTGCTTTGGTCGGCTGCGTCGCCGTCGTCGTCACCGTCGTCGTCGTCACCACTTTTCCACGGCCTGTAATACAATTAATTATTTAAAATACTTTCATCGAAACATCAGCAGCAGCCGAAAGAGAGAGACATTACCCGGCATAATCCTCATCGACTACGTCGTCAAACAGTCGTTGAAAGTCCCAGCTATGGATTGGCGCGTTCTTTGCTTTTGCTTCTAAGCTTTGCGGTGTCGATTCTTCCGCGGATAAAGACCGTAAGTACTCGTCCCATATAAATGCCACTATTCGCTGGTGATCGTAAATCAACAGCTCCTTGTACAACGGATGTTTTTTTCTCGGCATTAGGTTAATCGGCCAATTTATTATTATATTGTATACACCCTGGATGGGCGCGGTTAGATATCTTATAATAACCTCGGTTCTTATAACGTTTATTAACGATTTACATTGGTCAGTTAACATTTCACTAATTACCGATTTTTCCGTCACTGCCCGACGCATTATTTCACGTTGCCGTTTAATCGACGTCAAATTATCCTTAGTCAATGATATTCGATTACCAGCGTATTCGATCACCATATACGAGTTTGAAAAACAACGCGTTTTTTTAATAGCCAGCCCCGGTATGGGGATTACCGCTCTCTTACCGTCGTTGCCAGTATCGTCAGTCATAATTTTAATAAGATTGTCCAAAGCGCCCAACAATCCGATAAACTTATCGTGCTCCATACACAAACACGCTGTAGCACATACTATAAGTATTGCTTGTTTGTACGCACTGTTCTTTTGTGACCATTCGCATCCGATGTGAATAAATTTTCTCTCGTTCAGGTTAACCGTAAACACCGCAGCCGATATCAACTGAGTATCAACCGTGTTGATATGCCTTCTCGGCAAAATTCGTATTTCTTTTTTCCCGTAGCCACTCATAGTACACACACGCACGCGATATCACTTCACAACTAGATAACCGTTCCACAAGAACTCTTCACGACGTACTACTGGTGGCCCCATTTAAAAGACCCCTTTTATGTATCTATACGTTGCATCCAACAGCCAATGATATTACAGTCTGTGTCCCGCGCAAATGCATTTCTCTATTTTGTTGTCAGCTGCTGCTGCTGCTGATATTTATCATTATTCAACTACACTAAAATGGCGCGCTTTTTTTATTCACTATCATACCACCGAGGATACCTTCACAGTACAATTCTTATCACTAATAACAATCTGTTATACCACATCATTTTTTCCCCGCCAAATTTTTTCTTATCACTGATAACAATCCGTTATACCACTTGGATACCAACATTTTTTACCGCCAAATTTTTTCTTATCACTGATAACAATCCGTTATACCACATGGATACCCACATTTTTACCGCCAAATTTTTTCTTATCACTGATAACAAAATTGATAACAATTTTTTTTGATAAAGGAGGATCATCCTCGAGGATCACTGATAAGAGAGGATGATCCTCACCCAACTATATACTACTGTAATTAATTTAAAAAAAAATATTTATAGCATATAAAAAAACCCTTTTTTAAAAACATGCTTTTCTAAAAAATAGTGAAAAAGTGAACTAAAAAGTAAAAAATAATTATACTACAGGAACAGTTTACCAATCAATTATAGCACATTTTATTTAAAATATCAATTACTTTTAAAATAACCGAAAATTAACTACAATTTAAAATAATGTTAAACATCATTAATTTTGACTTAAAAGAAAAGCGTGGGTCAGACTAACAAAGTCCAAATTCGTTGAGTTAAGTATTTTGAAATATACGTGTCACACACTAATATTGAACCAAATTTAAATTACAAAAAACATTCAAAATTGTCATCCAAAATGAGTGTACCTACGTGTTAGCGAGTTAAAGAAAAGCATGTAAAAATGGTTTTTTTCATCTTCTTCAAAATAATTAACTTTATATTAACATTAGATACATTCACATTAATAGTAATAAAATATCATAAATACAATAAACACTATTTGTAACAATTAAAACTTACATGATATAATACCACAATAATCCGGTTGGATGTTACTTTCTTATGTAATTTCATAATAATTATTTTAAATCAAAATTATATTTTCAATACACTGAATAAGGTGATTTGGTGTGAGCAAATGTTATAAAAAATCTTAAACATAATTTTGGAAACAATGTTTTAATTTTGGTGCACATATAATTTATTTTTATCAGAACGTTTGGAGTCCAAGAACGTCTAAACTATGTGACCTTAAGTCTTTTTTATGATATTATCATGTCAGGAACGTAGACGTTCCCTCACATCCGACTCTGATCTAGGCTTTAATGGCTTACAAATATTCCGACTTGACAGACACTCCTATAATTAGCTCTTTTCTAAAATTGGTGGTTTATCTATTGCCTTTAAAGCTATATATTATGAAAACACTTCTATTTCCTTAAGCATTAAAACCGTTGAGCAAGTGTGCGCTCTATTTTAGCAAAGAATAACGAAACTATTACTGATATGTTGTTGAATTGTATGTGTTTTCTATAGAGCTACTGATGTCTTATTAAGAACACAATTCCGTCATTTTGTGTGCTGACTATAATTTGTCTTACATAACTTGTTCTAATGACGAATAATAACCTCTGAGAAAATTGTTTCCTACATCCTCTTTGCTTGTCGATAGTTTCTCCTATTTAATTTGTTTTTAACAATATACCTTTTTGGAAAATGGTCCTTAAACTGGAAAATTAAAACCAACGCAGAAAATTCTGTACATGTTTCACTTACTCTTGACAAAAAAAACACGCCTATTCTCACCCTCCAAAAAGTTCCTATCCCATCCTTGTTTCTAATAATAGTAAAACTATATCTATTTACAATATTGACTATTGAGTTGTTTAAAAAATAATTTTGCTCTCTTAGTATTCATGCTATTAGATAAACATACTACTTAAAAGTTTAAACTTTAAGATTCGATGCGGAGCTGTTATACAATGATAGATTTTTCATTTTGTATCATTTTTTTTTTCTACCTGGAGCCACAGTTACATTTTAAGGCTGTAGGCGAGTTGCGGCCCGAGGTGTTGTTTACGATGTCGGAGACCGGTGAATAACGCTTATGCTTATATACTGAATAATATTTTCTGGGCTTAGTACAGCCGTACAGGAAACCATTCAATCTACTGATATAAACAAATTATAATATTATACTAATATGTTGCATGTTAGACATTGAAAAAATATATTATAGTTTAAATTATTTTAGGATAGCTGTTAGCATAGCCTGGCATAGCGAATACAATTCAATGTTGTTAATAACAAATCACTAGATGGTGCTAGTAGTAGGTATTGTAATTTTGAAATATTATTGTACATTCTTTTTTTATAATACTGTTACATAGTACGATTACTTGTTAGGTATTACTTGAACTAAGTATTGTGAACTTGAAGAATACTGAGAGGCCGCTTAATAGGAAACTATGTAATCTTAGCGTATATTTTACCGTTAAATAAATGAGATTAACGGAGTTTATCAACAAGTGAATAGGTATGGCCAGTTTTCTGATTAATTACCGTGATAGAGACCGAATTATAGGATTGTAGGTTTTATTATCAATAAATAAATTATTTATCCACACAATCAATATTAAATTGTTAGTTGACTAGATTGAAAATTAAATTGTTAAAATTATATTAAAGTGATATACTGATATACATTTACTTTAATATTAATACTTATTCTTTTGATGACTTATTGGACTTATGTCACTATTGAGTGTGCAATTACTATTTAATTGAATTTCCCGCAGCCCGAGTAACATAAAAGTATGATGCACGATTGCACGGCCCACGAGACAGTCCGAGTTGAACAAATTGGTTGGATCTATTCAAAAGTAAATAAAAAACTTGTGAAAATCACATCGTTTGTATCGTTTTAGACGAAACCGCGATTTACTGTCTTAGAAAAATTAGACATGTTTCAAATTTACCTCACTTCACCTCTACAAATAATATTACAACAACAAAAACAGTAAACAATATCAATATACATAGGTACACAGTTACAGGATTACGCACTACGGCTCTCTCACAAGGCGTCGCCTTATTTTGCTCAGTGTCACTGCGGTAGTCATGTAAAAAAAAAAAATAATACATAAGTAGTAAGTACAGAATATTATACGAATATAATAATGCGTTGTACACTCACATTATGCGTATAACGCACGCAGACACACGGCACGACTTGTAAGAGCAACGGGGGGGCGCCTATACACATAACAGGTCAGACATGATCATTTTTTGTCCTTTGGAGTGTTGGAAATTGTTGTATGTTCGATCGCAGCGGGTTACTTTCGAGTGGTTTATCATGGTTTGTTATTATTGTTATTGTTATAACCCAATATGTTCGGTATTATTCGAAGCCGTGTGACGTCCGACGTTGGCAACATTGCCCGCGAATTCGTGGGAACGGTAAATCCTATCTAGTTATCGGATCAAACACAGCAATCGAATGACTATAAAACTTCCATAAGTACACAGTAACAGTGGCGGATTCAGGGGGTGCTTAGGACATGAAGCACCCACCTTCGTCCGTGTTGACCCATTTTGTTTTTTTTCACTAGTCTCACTATCAAACTAATTTCAAAACTATTACGATGTACTATTGTTTAAATTGTGCGCAGTAACAAAATACATGCACAATCGACTTCCCTGGCCGTCTGAGTAGGTAAACATTAATAAAACTTAATAAGACCGTTATCAATTAAAAAATATAAAAATGTTGCGTGCCCCGATGTTTTACATTATAAGTATCTAACGGAGGATTATTAGCACCCATCGTACAAAAAAATAGTTCTAGATCCGCGCCTATACATAGTTCTATTACTAATATTTTATAACATAATTAATACTAAATGTTTTTTGTATACAAAGTGTAGGTAACATTAATTCCTGTTAGTTCACTTTATGGCCGCCAAGTTAAATGCTTTTGGATAATCGTTATTGTTATATTATTGTAGGAACTTATTATTATTCGAAGGATTTAGGTGTTAGGTTCTCGTACGGCGTTAAATGCCTTCAGGCCACGGCAGCGGCTAGATTATAAGTAACGTTAGCTTTTAATGATAATAATTAATCGGCGTGAACGTGTTGTCGCGTTCATAGTGTAATAACATTAACTGAAAGTCCATTGTATTTTAATTCGTTAAATCCAACAAGATTATAGGGCACAATATGAATGTTTGCCGGTTTCCAGAACACTCCTGCACCTTTATGTCTAATTGTTCTCTATAATGAAAACGTTAATGTATATTATAAGCTCATATTATAATGGGCATGCAATAAATCACTACACTACAGCTTGTAAGAAGAACATAATATAGGCATACATTTATTACGAAAATAGTACACTGATATACTCAAAAATAAAAATTATAATATGTTATAAGGCTTGGGTGGTGCCGTCGTGGTTCTGTGCTTAACAGTAAAATACTAGTACCTTAACCTATTTTCATATATGAAAATAAAAAGTTAAAAAATGTAATTTTTTACCTAAATATCCTACCAGGTATCATTTTAATATTTACCCAAAAACTATCGGCAGTAAACAATTTGTATGTTTTACTCACCTGTTGAATTTTAAATAATTTACACATAGTTTTACTTTTGTACAAAAGATTTTTGAGAAAATTGTATATTATGTAAAATCCTACTCTAGATCTTATTTTAGTCTCATTTTCAGACTTTGAGCCTTAAAACTACGCTCGAAAAAGTGAAATGAAGTAAAATTGTCTAACCCTCCTGGGGGAAAGTTCAAATAAATTTTAAGTTGAAAAAAATATAAATGTTTAGTATGTTTTTCTAAAAGAAGGAGAAGGAGCCAACTTTTTAATTGTTGTCCCAAGAAACTTCCTTTCTAGTACGATTTCTGAGGACTATAGACTTTTTACACGGAGAAATCGGTTCAGCGAATTACACCATTGCAATAAAATGCATTCTCAGTTAAACATCGAAGCTAAAAACTGCCCATTGCTATTTAACCGTCTGGATGTGTTGCTTGTTATTTGTTCGTTAGCCGGGGATACCCAAATATATAAGAGGCCAAAGACAATCGTATGAAGGGTTTATTCTGTGTTTACCAATTGTTCAAACCCCTGTCGTGCGTGTAACATGTCCCCTATCATTTAAAACGGCACTCGAATGCAGGGCGTTTCCACTCCAATCCAAACCTTTGTGAGTTTGATTCGTTTTTTATCTACTTAAAAGACACAATCCAGCTGCGTAATGAGGTCACACGGTTCGGTTTCAG